TAATATGACTTTAAAAAAATGTTCTCTATCTAAAATGTAGGGCACAAAGGTAGGTGCAACAGAGACCCCACTTGAATATAATTTAAAGAGAACATCTATTAAGCCTTAGAAGAGACATAATTACAGATGAGACCACAGAAGCAGGTGCAAATAGGACCATGATTGAGACACACACATCGTTAGATAGAAGGGCTTTCAAGATTGGTCCAGGGCCTTCCGACCAAGGCAGTGAGGGTGAGACTGATAGGGCATGATCTTGACCATGTGCCCCCCTATAAGGACACAACTTAGAAGAGCCCCTAAGAGGGAGACTACCTCACTCTGGGCTGGCCAGAGAGGTGTGGCAGCAACCCACTCCCCAAGCATTCTGCCTGAGGGCAAGATTCTCCACACTCTCGTTAAGGATCAGAAAGCATTTGTTGAGGGCTTTGTCTAGGTGGGGACTCTGCAAATGGAAAATGCCCACCCATAGTCTTCTGAAAACCAGGGTGCTCAGAATCTAAGCTCAAATACACCTATAACATGCCTAAGACCAAAGACTCTCCAGCCAGAACCCCAGTTTCATCCTAAGTCTTGAAATTTCCTAGTCATTGAGTCAGGCAGGGAGGGAGGCAGGCAGGCAGGTAGGGGGGAAGCAGGGAGACAGGCAGGGAGGGAGGCAGGCAGGCAGGTAGGGGGGAAGCAGGGAGACAGGCAGGGAGGGAGGCAGGCACGCAGAGAAGCAGACAAGCAGGCAGGGAGGGAAGCAGGGAGGCAGGGAGGCAGGCTGGGAGGGAGGCAGGGAGGCAGGGAGGAGCAGGCTGCTTATAGGAAAGATGATAGATGAAGCAGGAACACACACAAAGAATAAGGAAGGTTGACTTAAATAAATAAGACTCAAAAAAACAAAAACAACTGTCATTGCATAGATTCCGACTCATATGGACCCTACAGGACAGGGTAGATCTGCCTCTGTGAATTTCCAAGCCTGTAACTTAAAGCCTTGTCTTTTGCTCGTGGTGAGGCTGGTGGCTTTGAACTGCGGACCTTGCAGTTAGCAACCCAACCCGTCACTGCACCACAGGGATCCCCCCACTCCAGCCTCAGTCATGTCAATAGAGGAGAGCCACCTGCTATGGCTGCTGCATCAGCACAACCCCGCTGGACCACAAGGAAGCACTTGATTGCTGCCCCAGCATGTGGCTCAGTGGATTCCTGTCCAAAGGCTGAACCCCGACCTCGGGGAGGACCCCACCTACCTAGCGGTGGGACCTTCGGGGGCATTTCCGGAGAGATGGAGGGAGAGATGCAGGGTTAGGATTGGCTGACTCAGACATGGGGCAGGAAGGGGCACGCAGGTGAGTAAAGGGCAGTTTACAAACACATCAGTGTTTTATGGTGTACATAAGTATTACCCCTATGGGTCTGGCATGAACCCCATGCCTTTGTTCTCTCCTAGACTTGAGGGCGCAGCAGGAAGTTAGCTGTAGCACCATCATGAGACCGGCGTGGTCTGGGTGCTCTCACCCCTGGACTGGGGTGAGGTTCCTGTCTCCCCACCAGTCACAGTGAACAGAGCTTCTAAGGAAGAGCCACCACCACCACCACCACCCCCCCGTCCGGTTTAATAGATGTGGAAACGAACACACGGGAGAGACCACATCAATTTCACGGGCATCAAACCAATTTAACTCGTGGCGACCCTACAGGCCAGAGTAACTCAGAGCAGAAAGGCCCCTTTGAGTTTCCAAGACTTTCAATCTTGGCAGGGGTAGACAGCCTCAACTTTCTTCCGTGGAGCAGCTGGTGGAGTTGAACTGCTGATCTTGTGGTTAGCAGCTCACTGAGGGACCCACCACACCACCAAGGTTCCTTGCAGAGTGCCGGAGAGCAAAACGGGGCTTTCAACCAAGACCAAAGCCCAGGTGAAGGAAAGCTTCCTGGAGGAGCTGACCCTTAAAAAGTGACAAGCTGAGGGCCAGGCAAGGTCAAAGACAGGAGGCTGGATGATGGCAGGGGGTGGGTGAGAGGGTGTTGCTAGTGCCAGACATGGGCTCTGACAGGTCAGAGTAACAGAGGGTGGGCGTGTGGTCAGAAGCAGTGGAGATAGGCCCTGCTTGGGTCAAAAACAGCAAAGCGATCGAGACCGCCCAGGTTGCTACCTCCGTTCCAGAGGGCCAGTTAGTCCAGTGTCCCTCGTGTGGACGTCCCAGGCCCTGGGCAGCACTCCACCGTAAAGAAGGAAGGCCGGAACAAGCGTCAAGATTTCAAAAAGCCTGAAGGAACACGTACATTTGTTTGCCAAGAGGCCAGAGGCTAATTAATTATTAAGTTTCTTTATTTCTGGCTGGAATGCTCCCAACCCAGCCAATTAGTAATGACTAATATCCTCCTAATTAGAAACACGGGTTTGCCTCAACGGCTGTTTAAAAAGCAACACAAAGGAGAAAGCTAAGTCAGTTCTTTTTCTATTATTATTATTTTAAATCCGGTCTGTTGGAAGATGATTTATGCACTGTAATAGCCCCACTTTGAAGTGTACAGTTTTATGAGTTTTGACAAACATGTACAGTCACGTGACCATGGCCACAGCCAAGCCACAGAACAGCGCCACCCTCCCAGGGCTCGCTATCACGAGCCCCTTCCCGGCTCTACCCGGCGCTGGCAACTGCTCATTTTGTTTCCTGTCCCTACAGTTCTCCCTTGTCAAAAACAGCCATGCTGTGTGCTGCCGGGGGAACATACCTACCTTTCATTTCTCTTGGACTGGCGCCACGGCGTCACAAAGTACCCACGTTGGATTGCATCCATCACAGACAAACTCTTCCCGACATGGTCGTATGGGCTTTCAGTCCGGCCGGCACAGGGTAACAATGCCGGCTGGGGTGTGTCCTCCTCACTGAGACTTGGGGTGGCCGGGGTTGGTTTGCTTGGTTTTAGCCATTCCAATTAATGTTGGGCTGCGATGCACCTGGTCGATAGTTCAAAACCACCAGCAGCTCCGCAGGAGCTCGACTGGGCTTTCTACTCTGGTAAACAGTTACCGTCTTGGACACCCACAGGGGGTCTCAGGGAGTCAGCATGGACTCCGTGGCAGTGAGGGGAGATGGATAAATGTACCTCATTTGCATCTTCTTTTTAAAAAAAATCATTTTATTGGGGGCTCATACAACTCTTATCACAATCCATATATACATCAATTGTGTAAAGCATATTTGTACATTCATTGCC